TGTAAGAGAGTATGTATTTTATACAAATGACTAAAACAAATTTACATCAACATTATTTGTTTTTGGGAGTGGGGGGGAGGGGATTGTGCCACAGTCTGCTGTGGCACTGAGGCACGGCGCTGGAGTTTTTAACAAAACATTTTTTTGGTAACTGCCCTTGACGGCTGTGGCCTCACAGCGCAGGAAGCCACTCGCGCTGATAAAATCATAAAGTAAAACAGATGATTGCAGACACAAAAGGTCGCCCTTCTCTTCAGGCCCTGTCATTCTATCGCCTTTTTTTCTCTTCAAAGTTATAAATTAAATTTCGTTTCTTTGACCATGATCTCGCCTTGTGGCTTTTCCTGAAGCGTTCCTGGTATCAATGCAGACCAGCTGCCTCAAATGTACAAATTTGGTTTGTACTTAATGCTCAAATGTGCATGCATGAAGGATGGTAACAAATGTATGTTAATGGCTGTGGAGATATGTGCCGTTATTTAATTTCTATTTGATGGTTACTGGACTTGAAATTTGACTAATGCCCATTGAAGACCTCAAGGACAAAGTTTTACCTGAAGGTCAGGCTTTTGGTAAAAAATATCTTGAATTTTATTAAACAGCAGCAGTTTCATGAATGCACATAACCCCTAGATAAGGCTGGAACACATAATGTGATGTCTCTTGCTTACAGAAGAGAGGAGCAATTGTTAACATATTGCCGTTCAGCGATTACAGAATACAAAATCTCAAAATTCCCTGTGGTCAAAATATTTGCAAATACTAAATAGTCAACTATCAGCTTAATTCATAATGGTAAGTTAAGATTTGAATTAAAAATATACATCTGAATGACGATTTAAAATGACGATAATTATGATGATTAAATGTAGGGCAGCATTTGTTTAACATTGTAGACATCTGTGGAATATAGTTTACCGCAAACTCCGGCCAAAATATATATTGTATTTAATTTTTTTTTAAACTTACATAATTTAAGAGGCTTATCCTGACCTACATCTGTGTCTGCTGGCAGTGAAAATATCTGTCCATGTTATGGACCGTCACGCGAGTCACATGTTATGAAGGGTCTTAAAATATTTGTGACCACAAGGCTCGAAGAGCCATGTGCTTTGCCCAATTGGGTTTAATCAGCAGCGTGAAAATGGCAGTCTTTGCAGGATTCCACCAGGAGGCTCAGGGGTCAGACCACCGAGCGGATACCACTGAGAATCCTGGGTTTGAATACGAGTGTCAGCCACCGATGTTGAAACCAGGTTCTCAAGTGTGGTGAGCGTGTGGTCATCGTCCCAATCATTGCACAATGAATAATCGTATTTTAAAGACGAGTTTTCAACTTAATTTGGCTATTTTCTAGCTCCGTTAATCAAACTTATCGAATTGACACAAACCATCCAATTGTATCTGCACCAATCGAAAGTGTGATCCTTACCTGAGTTTTCCACATTCCATAATGTTACTGACACTACTTTATTCAAAGGTGACTCTTGTGCCTGTTATCGAGAAGTTTTACCTCTCCGAAGCGTACAAAGTCCAGCTAATTAGGTCGTTAAATAGGAAAAAAACGAAAGTCATGATAATTAACACAGAAACCCCTACTGAGCTTGCACGTGTTAATTGTTTGGAGATTACCATTGCCCCAGATGTTCATAAGTTTGGAACACTAGAAGGACAACACACTCACACACCGGCATACGTGTACCGTGCTCTAAATTGCCAATTGGATTTGTGTCTAACAACCCAATGGGTTTTGTGTGACACTGCTGTATCCACGCTGACAATTAAAACGGGCTTCTGATGGATCTTGTCGAGTGCGGTACACACACACACACATTCATTTTTTTTTTTAAATAAAGTGTCCTGTCTTGATACTGTGGAATACTAATGCACTTGAGCACGCACTCAGATATTTGTGTTGTGTTCAGTTTCACAGTTCACAAACCTTACGTAAGAAACATACATAACTTGTGTGCGTTTAGATGTTTTGAACACTGTTCATTTGCTTTGCATTGTTATAAACAAGAGAAAACAGACAAGCACATGCACATGTAAGCGAGCACATTTTTTATATTCACACCAAGGCTTTGTATTGGCGCATTGGCATCACAGTTTTTTTTTAAATAAATCTGTGGCGTTATAATAAACCACACTATATCTGTTATTATTGCTCATGTGTAAAATCATTCTTCAGAGACGTGTGTCCATGTACATACCAGGGAGCGGTAGTGTAGTGGCTAGCGGACTGTGCTACAAACCCCCGCCACCCGAGTTCGATTCTCGCTCACGACCAATAACAGTGGCGAATGTTTGAACCGGCCCTGGGCCTCCCCTAGGTCGACTCAGCCTTACATTGAATTTTTTTAATTCACTGTGGCGGTTCACACCTTGAATTATCTAATCCAGAAATTAATATCCGAGGTTTGGAGGAACACTTACATCGTGCAAAACGTGCAAAAACAATGGGCTGCTCGGTGGCCGGGAGATAGCAGAAGGGCAAAGAGATTATGAAGCTGTCTATGTCGATTGGAGAACTTTGAGTTGGCTGTACAGCCCCACAATTTCCTTCCACGTGAAAAAAAAAAAACAGACCTCATTAAAGGGGTTGGTCAAACATCATTCCAGAGCAGCGTCCTTCACTTATTTCCAGAGGGGGAGCCACTTTCGCCTAAAAGACATCATCGGTGTGAGCGCCGCCGCACATTTGAAACCACTGGGGGTTTGACGGCAGCAGCAGCACGATGATGATGATGGGCGGTGCTGTCACGTGTTGTGTATTGTCAGGGGCCGTACTTCTGGGACCGCACTAAAGGCCACCAGGGGCCACCAGTGGCCACCAGGGGCGACCAGGGGCCACCAGTGGCCCGCGGGCCTTGCAATGAAGAAACACTGATCTACAGCAAAGACATTATTTGGGGATACTGTGTTGACCGTGATAATTATACATTGTGGTCCAGATGTCGCATCGCCCCCATTTAATTCTCTAAACTTAATACATTTTTATTGTCAAATAAGGTTTATTTCAAACATAAACGAATATGCAAAGGAACAAAAAAATAGGGGTCAATTAATTGGGGTCACAAGACATCTAGACCATTCTATAAAGTATATTACTATCCACATTTTAGTTTGTTATAGGTAGGCAAACGTTACACAGATTTTCATATCAAATAGCAAACTCCACTGACACCTCTGCTTCAAGGCTACACTTGTGATTCCCGCGTGAACCTAGCATGTTGCACTATTTAGCGTTTTCAATGAATGAACGGTCATGTTACATCGTGATACCCTGCACAATCTCGAGCTTTATTCACGTGGCCTGCAGGTTGCGATGTGTGGGGGTGGGGGGCCGGGGTATGCAACAAAAAAGTATCCCCGCGTGACAGGAGTGGTAGGTGACGATATCCACGCTGCTGCCAAGCGCCTTCTTGCCCATGAACAGCGAGGTGACAGCCCCCGTTCCGTGAGCACGCACTCAGTACGAAGCACCGTGGCCAGAGAGCGGGCCTGCGCGATCACGTGGGGGGCGTCTTGTGCCGTGCAGTGGCAATGCGGTAAACATTGTTACGATTAAACATAAAAAACCACACTGCAGGTGTACTAATGCCTGGATGATGAAAATATATATATAAAATCACCAAGCTTAGCATAATTTCATTCCAGTTATAATAATCCACGGATGAATAAAGGCATCGCTATACCGTATCAGTCATAGGTGTTGTTTGACCATACTTCACCATGCTGGTCATTGTGGGTTGACGGGGTTTGGGGGCATGCATCTGGTGTTAGCCATAACAGTGAAATCATCTAATGCTTTCTGCGTTCATATTGTAGTTTGTACATGACTGTGCCAGTGAAAACCCCGTTCAACGTAGGGTTTTAGTAATACATTTGCTGTATCCATCTATCGGAAGTGGATACAGCCCCGTAGCCTCACTCAAAATCCCCAGCAGCGCAACCTTGACAATCGCAACCCAACGTGGACGAACTCTTCTGGCTTTTCCCACTTTCATTAATAAATGCATTCACAACATAACCTTAGCAAAAGAAAGACGGATAAACAACATACAATAATAATCATATTCTCCAGCATCGTCACCACGATCCACGGACAGATAGCCCGTATGTGTGCACTGCACATTGTGCCATTCGTTTCAATTTGCCTCTCTCTTGGGGGCCGTCCATAAATGACGTCACGCGATTTTAGACGATTTTTGACCCCCCCCCCCCCCCACCTTCGTCACACGGCGTCACAAAAAATCAGACCCCCCCTCAAATATGACGTCACAAAGCTCTGTCCCCCCCCCCAAAAAACATGCTTCAAATCGCTTGAAACTATCGTCATTGTAGTGCGTATTTAATGTGGCGCTGCACTCTGATATAGGAGAAAACATTTATTAAAACGTCTATTTAATTAAGTAGAACGTGTTGTCTATATTTATTTAAAGAAGTTGCGCATTTTGATGTGACGTCACATTTCTCCCCCACCCCCCCCCCCCCCTCGTCACAAATGTCTGACCCCTCCTCCCCCCCCTAGGTGCGTGACGTCATTTATGGACGGCCCCTTGTGGCAATATGCTCGAGTGGTGGCTGCAACTTTCTGGCAACCATCTCTCGTGTTCGCCGTGAGGTCTTCCTCACCTGCTGGTGCCTTACATTATTTTCTGAGCAGCAGCAACAACAACAACAACAACACGTTTAACGTCCCTCTTGTTGTCCATCATGGAACATGTGCCCAAATAGTACCCATTTACTTATCATCGCTGCCTGCATCATCATCATCACCATCAGGTCGTCTTCTTCGATGTGCGACCTTGTTCGTATACGTCTCCGTTGGTCTCTCCTTGGATCCAGTTTCAACGCAGCAGCAGCAGCAGTCCTTCTGTAGCAGCGATACATTCCGAATGCCGACATCATATCTCCGTCAGTCTGTTTCAGCGTCCGAGTCTCCAGTGCGCGTGTGAGAATGCGCGCGTGCAGCGACTCGCGTGCCGACGGGACGATCATCTGCATCATTGACCCACCGACATTGCAAACGTGCCACCACCGTGACGCGCGTGACGCACTCGCCCGTTGTGACGCGCGTCGTGACGATGGCCGGTAGCGATGGTTCCCACCCCCACCACACACACACACACCCTCCGTACCGCGTGCGTGGCCCTGTGCATGTTCTGTTGCGATCGCTAGGGCTGATTTAGGTGTAACCAATCCGCGTCAACTCCGCCGCGTCTGAAGGTTCAACGTACGTGCGTTCCTACATATGCGCTCCCTCGTGCCGCAGGGAGTGCCGCTGCAGTGCGCACATTGCACACGGAGGCGAGGCGACGCTATCCTGCCACTGCGCGCTTCAACATTGCTCCACCTTCACTGGCCCGCCTCTGCTATCTTCGTTCCCGCGTCCACTCGCGTTACCCGGTTTGCCCGTTGCTTTCCACATCGGCCCGAGTGCGTCTTGGCCAGCTGCTAGCGACGCTGCAAGCTTTCAGTCCGTGATGTATGAACTCTCGAGCCGCGTTAACGCCCCACCGACTATGCATAGCCTCGAAACCCAAAACGTAAAAAAAAATTGCTCACGATCTGCACATTTTAATTTCGGAAAAAGGGGCGGCCGTCTTTTCATTTCCGTAGGATTCCACTCTCTGCGAATTTGATGGCATTCGGATCCGTAGGCGTTGAACAAAAGTGCGCTCTGTTGCGCTCCCCGGCATTCATTTTTGCCACGCTCCCACATTGACCTTTGACCCTCGCTCTCAATGGCTGCAGGGCCTCCCTGAGCCAGCACCGCATTATGACAGCGGCACATTATCCCCATGGTGTCATCTTCCCTCATGGTATCTGCTTTCCTTATGACCACAAGCTCCGTTTCACACCATCGTCATCTCCGACCACACGGCATCTCCTGTAAGTGCTACAATTCATTCACAACATATACATTATCGTAAAACATGTCAAAAGACACGAATGGAGGTAATTATTCAAGGCACGATTGTCATTTTATTAAATTGCATGCAAACAATAAATATGAAGCGTACATATTGTTTGCAAATGCCGCAGCTAAAATGTAACATTTTGACTGCAGGAATTCATATTCTTTGGATCTTTCGGTAAAGTCACGTAGATGGAAAAAATAAAAGTAAATAAAATAAAAAATTACGACGTTTCGATCACAACACAAGCGATCGTCATCAGGAAGAAAAAGGGGGGGGGGGGGAACGATCGCTTGTGTTGTGATCGAAACGTCGTAATTTATTTTTCTCTATCTACGTGACTTTGTGAAAAGATCCAAAGAATAAGCTATAATGTTGTTTTGAATCTTTAAAAGGAGAAAGTTGCCGTAGAGGTAGCGATGGACAGGCATTGCGGAGAGACTAAACACAGCTGTTAGTTTTATACATTTATTGCCGTGATGCTTCTAAAACTATAGGAGAGTTGTTATATATTGCTGATTTCCCATCTTGCCACGAGCCACCTGCCCGTGACAGTTCTTTGGATCGTTGCGAGATGGAGTTTTGACCTCTCCGCCTTCTGACCACATTTTCGTTTGACCAAGATATTGCAGTCCATGACCATCTTGGACAATTTCGTCCAGATTAGTCAAATGGTTTAAGCCACGGTATGGTTACAGATGGGCACGCAAACGATATAAATGATGGGATTTTAGAGCACCGTGACCTTGACCATTTGGCCATTTGACCTCCAAAGCAATCCCAAAACCTAAGATGCGGTTTTCGCTGCTCCTGAAAATGTTGTTTCGACTAGTCAAATGGCCCGTGATGCACTCTAGCGGATTGTCAGATGGACAGAAGGACAAACAAACGTGACACCTTGGCCAGCTAAAGAAGCAGAAGGCCCTAGAGGTGAGTAATAGCCATGAATAGAGATTACAGGTGTGCATCAGTCAGGGGTTAAATGTGAAGAACTCAATTTGGGTATTTTTTACAACAGAAGGAATGCCACCCAGCAATATAAATGGGTGCACCACAGCCGGTTGCATAGGGTGGTGTAAAATGTGGATGCACACCAACCTCTTCCAAGATGTCTGGCCAGAGTGGAGAAGTAGGCAAAATACCCTCCATAGATCTCCCTTTCGCGCAGGCCCTTCCACCAGCAGTGGAGCGAGCAAGCGATTGTAGGGCTCCACATCTGCCTCCAGAAGGCAGAAATGTGTCACGAGTTGGGAGTTGAGTTTGAGTTTATTTCATTTGTTCCGTGGATGATTCCGTTTCGCCACTTTTGAAGGAGGTCCGTGGTGCGTGAGCACAGCAGCAACAACAAAAACAAAGACATTTTTTAAAAAATGTCAACAGTGCCGAGGTCGAGTCGAAGAAGGCCTTGAGGAATATTGCACAGCGAACAGACGAGGCATTTAACGGTCGTGAACAAAGACACACGTGAAAACAGTGAGATCAAGAGGCGCCAAAATAAGCCTTAGAGACAGATTAGACACAGGGCCTCATTTCAGCCGGGTTGATGAATCATACAAAAACTCTCCACCCGGCGCACCGCATTCAGTATACCTCTCACTATGGTCGTGGATACTATTTGCGTTCTACGACCTCTCCGCGGAGGGTCTACCATAGGGGTTGAATGTGATCTTCAGTTAACCCCCATCGGTCATATGGAATATGTCTTTCGCCACCTGCTGGTAGGAAAAGTAGAATGCATACTCTAAGCAGCAGGTCAAATACGGTAAAGGGACCTGTGCTTACAGCCTCAAGGGATCGTGGCTTTTATTAATTTAATTATGAAGGTTGTTTCATGCGCCGTTGCATGACTGGTTGGTGATATTGAAAAGTAATTTAAATGTAAAAGTAGAAAATTTTAACCGAATGAAAACTCTTTTTTTGTATTTTGCCTTCGGATGAGAGCTTTGATTGCGGTGCCTTATGAGCGATGCGGGCAGTCAGTTTATCAGAGATGGATGGGTGGTTTCGACAGCCAATTCCCGTGGGCACGGTACTGAGCCAAAAGCCCCCCTTAACATCCTGACTTCACACCCTGTGGCAGACGAGCAAAATATTCGTTCACCGTCGCTGCTCGCCATGACAAAGCCACTGCTGGATCGAGGTACTTACACAAACCATCACCGTATCCCACAATCCTGCAAATTACCCACCCCAGAAGCTGCACACAAAATCCATGCAAAAAAAAACAAGTTACACAATAGCTTTTCGGACTCTGTTGAAGTCGAGTTCTGGTAGAATATAGACATTGGCCAGTATGACTTTTAAAATTATAGTACATTAATTGCTCAATTCACTGCTGGATGAAAGGCTACCCATGCCATATCACAAAGCGTCACCACACTTGTCAGTAAAAATTGCTCATGTGGGGAGCACAACCACAAGAGTATAGTACCGTACAACAATGGATCTTGCTGCACTGCCCTCTGCTACCCACTACGCCGTCCTGGAGCCTATAACCACTCATTATATGCACGAATAGTCGTCCATCCCAGTACTATCCAGGCCACGCTTTGTCAGAGTGGTCAGTGCTGGTTGCTGAAGAGAAGATGGTGCCCTCGACCATTTCAGATAATATCGCTCGCCTTGATGTTCGCCATATTCGAGTGGACTAAGCGCTGCACGAATCGGACCATGCTGTGTCCTGATTGCAGCAGAGGAACACGGTGGCTAGGAGATGTTAACAACCTCTCCTGGTATACAGGAGGTCGTGGGTTCGATCCCGATCCTGACGCCTGCTGCTGTGTATTTGGAGTTTGCATGTTCTGCCCGTGGTTACGTGGATTATTTCTCCAGGTCCTCTGGTTTTTCCCTCCACATTTATAAACATGCGTTTAGAGTATTTGGCTTCTAGAAAATTCCACATGGCAAGTCATTAAGTTGAGCTATCATTTTGTGGCCAGATCGCGTTTGAAAAAAGAGCCATTTGTCTCAGTGGGCCTTACCTGGCACAATTGTAAAAAATACTTTAAAGTATTAAATATTTTGCATCGTTTTAACACACGTCCTTGTGCATGCACATCACTTACAACCAGTTATATGCACTCGATTATGCCGTGTGGCAAGAAAGGAACACAATCTGTGGATAAGTGTATCGATTGACCCGATATGAGTTACAGAAACCCAACGGTGTTTGTGGTGCGCATAGCAGCAGACCCGCATCTCTGCGTCCCTCTCTCCCTCCCCCCCCCCCGTAATTTACAACGCGGTGTGTTTATGTAACCCCTCTGCCAGGGTCATGAATTGGCTCCGTGTTCCCCCCCCCCCCCCCCATCCATCTCGATTGACTCCGTAGGCAAGGACTCCATCACGGACGGCTACTGGCGACGCTGGGGGCTCATCCGCATTATGAATGCAAGTCAAAATAGCGAAGCTTTTAAAAACCGCCCTCGCCAAGACCGTCACCGGAGGACAACAGAAGGAAGGTGCAAAACACATTCAAACTCCATTTTACGACGAGATTACCATCGAGATTAAGCCGGCCATTCTCAGTCGACGAGTGGGTGAAGGCCTCTCTCCATGCCGTGTTCACTCATCATTGTATATGTACGCACTTCACCACGCTGGTCAGCGCAGGTTGGTGAGGGCGCTGGATGGGTGGAGGTGGTGGGAGTAGTGCTGGGAGTGGGCAGGATCGGTTCTGATATCACTTGCCACTGATGTTAGCCGTGGCTGGTAATCAAATTGAGGTCACCCGGTTCGTAGCGCAGCGTGCTGACCACATTACCACCGCTCCACCCCCAAGAGCCTTATGCCACATTTAAACCCATCGCAAGCCAGGACACGCCACGTTATTTGTGTCAAGTTCCCGGAGTTAATGCTAGATTCTGAGAATGTGTCTTCATCAATTATGCTTTACACAACTGGAAAAAAAAATCGTGTCTCTGTTACATTAAATAGCTAATCGCCTCTCATTTATCTAAGATGAACGGGATTGACTGCTTGGCATTGCAGTTGTTTATGTATTGCGATCTCTGTTCATATTCTTTTTGGATCCTGCATTTGTTTTGCATCGCTTCTGTAAGCCAGGTCTCCCTCATGGGCACAATGGGCTGTCTCCTGGATGTGAGCATTTGTACGTCTTCTTAGGCTTAGCTTTCATTATCCCGCACCTCTGATGAGCACAGTTGGCTACGTACGGTGCGAAAGAAGTTCAACATATCTACATATTACATTAGAGTCATAGACCCGATGTCCAGCCTTTTTGTCTATCCACTGCCGGATGAGGACTTTCCAACACCACACGGGGAATTTTTATACAATACTGTACTTCACCACGCTGATTCAGTGCACGTCGATCAAGGAGGGAGGCACAGACGTAGGAACACAGAAAGTAAGGTACAACACTGTATCTTGCTGCAACTTCACTGGCCTGTCGATCACGGAGCCCCACGGTCACCTGTGACAATATGGCATTGCCTGGTGCTCACCTATCCAGGCACCTGCCAGGCTCAACCCACAGCTTGGCCTCTGGGATGTGCTGACGAGATGGGCTGCATTAAGTGTGGTTTGGTTGTAAGGCGTATAGACAATGTACACTTGTTTCTCAGTCAATTAGCCAACTCAGTGTGATCAATTTTCCCGGAGGACATTAATTTGTTGACAAGTCTCCAGTCCACATACCGCCCATACACAAACGAGGCTTTAAATAGGATCTATTGAAAGGGACACACACAGTGGGATACACAGCCCGTAGACGAGTACTGGCACGGTTAATTTTGGATGTTTGCATGGAAAGTTCAGAGTGTGCCTATTGAGATTATACATTTTTTCCCACTTCTGTACATCTCACTAGCACTCAAACCCATACAGCAATAAGCACGGGCAATGTCAAATATATATTCATAGGCTATGGGCCAATTTCTGAAAAAGGCTTTGTTTTTCAAGATAAAATCACCGCCTTACACACTATATATGTATAGTCGCTATGTCTTATGGCCATATCACCTGGAATGCGCTCCATTGGAAGATACGCAGGGCTGATCCTGCGTAGTACTTGCATGGATAACCAACATCGGAGTCTATATAGTGGGCCACACTTTCAATTGCGGCAAGATATTATCTCCCTCACCTGGTGTGCAGGAGGTTGTGGCAAAGCTCATGACCAGCTACGAATTATCATACAATTAAACTAAAACATATTGTAAGAACACAAGAATAAATATAAGGTGTGAAAATATACAAGGTTAAAATACAAAGACAGTAAAATAATTGATGATAATAATATAATTTATATATCAATAATAAATCAATTAAATGATGAAAATAAACTAAATATATAGTGCAATTATTTGCCCAGGAAAACCTCAATGAGTCTCTCGACTAATATTCAGGAGGCTCCTGCACTGGCGTGTTTGGCCAATTTCATTAGTGAGTATATTACAAACATTACAAGTGATCAATGACAACTTATGCATAAAAAAATGTAATTAAAATAAATTGGCGGACTTAACCGCTGTTACTTGTATTAGACCAAATACAAGATAATTTTACGAGTAACCAAATTTTTTGGGTTAAAGAACTATGATGATGGATGGTGTTTTCGATGAACGATGACGGTGATGATGAATGATAGATGACAATGGGCTGTGAATAATGATGGATGGTGGTGTGGCCGAGTAAGCTCCGAGCACGTGAAGCAAAACTTAAGTCGCCGTGCTGAACATCACGTGGTTATAAGCTGACAACACATCGCAGAGAGCTATACCGTGCTGGAACGAAACCGCGACTCCCTACGCAGTAGCATTGCAGTATTTTCCAAGGTGCTTACTAAAAACTAAATGTCAAATATAAAACCTAGTGCAGGTTTGAAGCGTGTATTTATAACGTTACATTTTGAATGGAACCCAAACGCCAGGGAACCCCCACCACCACCACCCCTCGGCTAAAATTAACAAATTCAGTGCCAATTTCTGAAAAAAAATAGCTCGTGACCTGTCAAGTCCAACCACCTCGGGCAAGTCCACAAACGAGAGTGAACGCAGTGATTAAGCTCGGGCGTTTCGGTGAATGTGGAACGAATAAAATAAACATCTGTCGATGGATTAGTGATGCTGGCATAATACACACACACACAGACATAACACACACACAGAGGGTAGCTTAGGGCCACAGGGGCTGTGTGCGTGCTCGCACACGTGTGCATGCATCGCCCAATTTCTCGGTTGCAGTAACCCGTTGCCTCTGGAGAGATTACTTTTTTGAATGAGAGTACAATCACCGCGGTTGTTTGAGCCCGAGCCAGTGCACCTCAGTCATTAAAACCAAGCGGCAGTGAACAGACCCGTGGCTCGTGATAACAATGTTGATATGGGCGCCCACAAAGAGACAAGATCAACGTTTGCTTGGGTTCGGCACGCGTCTCGTCTATCTGCCTCGCGTTTACACGCCTGGCACGCCTGGCAATCGTTGGCTACCAGGGCGTCAGAGATTATGCACTGAAGAGGTAACGTGAAGAGGTAACGTGACGAGGTAACGTGGCCCTGTAATTTCTAGGGGCTGTAAAGTTCCTCTAGCGTGGGCCTCCCTGCCGGCACTAGAGGGAGCTCGAAAGAGTCTCTCTAGATTGTATTTGGCCTACTTTCCATGCTGGCCATCCAGCAAAGACGGTCACTGATTTGCGAGCTTATGGATGCGCTTTGCGACCGTCTGAATGCTCTTCCTTCCGATATTAGGAATCCACTGGAGCGTATGCACTTTTAAATTTAGATTGAAAACTCATTTCTTGAGAAGTGATTTTTGTGCTTAGTTTGTTGTCATTCTCTCGCACATCCCATTAGAACGGTTGGCTACGTACGGAGCGAAATAAGTTCAACATGCGTACATATGATTTGGAAGAGGTGGGAGCACCAACACTTTACGCCACCGCACGCGACCTGCCGATTGACTGTGGTGTATCCATGTATACTGCTCGGTGGACATGGGGCTTTGGGTTTCAAGAAAGTTGAACCGGAGTTTCAAGTGGAGATCGAAACGCGCGACCTCTGGATTGCAAGCCCAGTGTCGCTAACCGTTACATCACGGCAGCATCCGCGCGTATTTAAAGGCGGGGCATTGATTGTGCCACACATCGGTTCATTCATGGGGAGAAGGCGGCGTGGAATTATGGTGGAGATCTGTGCATTGTTTTTAGTCCAGAACATTTAAGCGAGTGACCTTGACGGCTGACTTTACAGTACTTTTTTCGCGAATTTCTTTCCTTCGCAATGCTAATGTAGAATTGTGGCTTTCACTGTCGCACCTCGGATTAGCGTGGTTGGCTGCGTACGGTGCTAAAGAAGTTCAACATATGCACGTACATGGTTGAGTTGTAAAACGTTGTGACCTATTTATTGTACGATTCATGCGGGCAACAGCGCAATTCTAAGCACCTCTAGAGATGTTACCAGACTGATTTAATTGGCATATCTATCTATGCAATCTGTCTGCAAGTTAACCAGGAACACCTACCTTTGCACCATAGAACACTTGGCCATTGATCATTGCACTGATTGCCACACGCTTTAGAGTAGAGAGACCTCGCTGATCGTAGATAATTTTATTCATTTCTTGAGTGATAGGGCTTTCTTATTTGGGTGCCAAACTTTTAAGTCTCGAATCCACTTGTGCAAAAAATTGTTGAGAATGTACGATTTTTTTTTTATTAATATTAATATTAACAACCTCTATTTATCAAAAATAAGCCCATGAGATTCACATGTTATTCCCAAGGTGGTTCTGGCTCGGTGACAACAATTAATACATTTCCACTTCAATTTACAATGAGTGGCACTTCATGGGTTAACCTGCGGTGCAAGCCTCATTGTCTGCTGTTTGTTTGCCCATTGTATTTATCCGATTGAAATGCACATCGCTGCGTCTGTAAATCTCGCTTTCTTGTCGTGAGCCACGGGATTCGGATCAATGAGTAAATCCAAAGGGCCTTGCGGGTGATGGCTTCCAGCTGTATAGACATTTTTAAACTGCTGCTTTAACGTTCAATACTTGTGAAATGTTGATTGGCTATGGCTAGGTATTTGAACGGCGCACGTTGAGCAAGTGAAACAATGCTTATTTTATTTATTTTACGGGGGGGGGGGGGGTTTCAGAATGATTATTTGAAGTGCTGTTGGAGTGAAGTTCTTTCCATCTTTAAATATTTTGCTGGCCCGAAATCCTGAAGGCGTTTAAAAATGTTTTAAAGAAGTGTGGATGCGCTTAGTTTAAAGTTGTTGGTTTGAGGGTTTAATTTTAACACGCAGCAGTGCATAATGAGCTTTATACAATTGCTGTTAGCCACTGACAGCACCCTGCCGTGAAGGAAACGTTCTCCTGCTAATATTTGCGGTGTCAGTTTCTCACTTTCCCTCTCTCAGCATCCACTCTGCTCTAAATATTGTCCATCATCATCATCATCATCTCTCTCTTCAGTTTGTTCTCATGCCGTGTCTCTGCCCAATTCCGCTTCAACAACAGCGTCGGTGACCCCTGTTGTACCCCTCGTTTCTTCATTTGCCTTGCTGTTAAAATTTGGTAAACCGATAGCGTTTTTTTTTACAAACAAGTCTGACATTGTTGATGAGACCCAACATGTCGAAACTGGGCCAGAATTAGCTTGGATACATGGAGAAGGCCAAAAAGATTCAAATATATTTATATTATTTTTCAGCGAGATATGCATATTTATTTATTTACCTAGTAATATTCCGCTCACTTCACCCTTGCTTGTCTCCTTATATGCTGATGGAGATGTTTTTTTCAAGTCACAGCGAAGTGAAAATTCACGTGCAGGTGAGATGACATGTGTGCGCTAACGAGCGGTCCCATTCCCAACTGCGACTGCCAATTGAAACGTGCTCAAGTTAATGGAATTAATTAATCATTTTAATGAAGCGGATGGGAACGGTCACGTAGGAAAACGAGGAGACTCGGGGGTGGAATGTGCATTTTGTGCTTGCAGTTGCTGCTCAGATTATTGTTAGATGCAGACGTCACCGTTTATCAAGAAGCCAATCACAGCTGTTTCACGTGCAGAAACGGGTATCTTTGATCCGCGAATATAACAATGCAATACCGTGTTCATTTACTGCCCTTTGTCAATCAACTGCTGGATGAAGGCTTCCCCATGCCGTCTTAATCATAGGGGTTGTCTGACCATATTTCCCTACCATAGTTAGTGTGGGTTGATAAAGGGGGAGTCCAGAACTAATTGGAATCTCTATCGCCACCAATGTAAGCAATGGCTTTGAATTGAACTCAGGTTTCCAAGCTCTTAAGCTTAGTGTTCAAACTGCTGCACTGCAGCTCCACCCCAGCTCATATACTGATAGTACCGTTCCAGCATTAAATGAATGTCTTACAGCTCATTGTCAAACCACTGCTAGTTGAAGGTTCTATCATGCCATGTCAGTCACAGAGGTTTTTGATTATAGTTCACCACGCTGGTGTATTATGTAATTGCTACTATATCAACTTGAATACTGTAATAAAAATATAAAATGACTCAATTGATTATATTTAATAGAGTATTACTTTGCTTAATCCTATCACCACTGCATTATTTTATATTTGTTTATTATATTTTATATAAAGAATGCATAGGAACTGTGCAATGGGGTAAACTGATCAAATGTTCTTTTTTAGTTCACACATGAGATTATTTTTGCTTAAAGTTAATGATTCCACATTTTCTTTCCAAGGCAATTTACATCGGTAATGTGGTTTATAAAGTGTGCATTACATTCTTAAATTATTATGAGTCTGCCACTACCAATATCTCGGTGCAAGATTAACTCCAGATGATTAATAACGCTTCTTGAGCAGTCTCAAAGGATGAATAGAGGATATTTTGTTTGTTTCTGTGTGTGAAACAACGTGGGGAGTGGTAGTGTAGTGGTTAGCGCGCTGTACTACGAACCTGGTGACCCGAATTTAATTTTCACTCACGGGCAACACCAGTGAGAATCATCTAAACCGGTCCTGGGCATTTCATAGATCGACTCGGCCTCAAATGAGTACCTTTTGCGATGTGTAAACATCGCCACGTAGGGAGACAAAGGCGGCCGGGCATGGTGCTGGCCACCCATCCCCTCGTGCGGCGTGCCGGCCTTTATAGGTGCTCGCTAACAGCACTTGCCTCAACAGTCTGTTAAGGCTATACGGGGGATCTTTTTCTTTGTCTTGTGTGTGACATTATATACCGACCAGAAACAGAACCACAGAGGTCAAGGTTTCGTGGACTCGTGGATTGTATCTTCCCACGTTTACCATTCAAATGCAAATTTTAATTAAGTCACTGCATGTGACTGACTATTGGTAAACATACCCCAACGTGACATCGAGAATGATTATCAAAATGAAGGTAATGATCAATCAATTACAATGTTTACTTATGCTCACAAAATTCACATCGAATTATTTATCTAAGAATCGATTATTTAGGATATTTTGAATGAATGTGTCTGATAACATTATAGATTTGTACTGTTGAAAACTCTATTTTACACCATGTTATAATTCTCCTATCAATGTACACCACTGTAAATAATACAACATCACATGGTTAAACAAACAAAAAACTTTTTATGAGCCATGCCTGACCCTGAATATTGGTGATTCGTAAGATCTAATTTCTTTTTGTGTTTATTTTTTGTTGTCCATCCCCCGCACCTTCGATTCGAGCGGTTCAGCTATGAACGGTGCGAAAGAAGTTCAACGCACACAGATCGTTTGTTCACGAACATGTTTCAATGTTGGTGATTTAGGTTGCGTCTGTTCACACAATCATGATGTGACCCACTTCTGACCAAGTCACGTGCCAGTCTTTGTCAAAGCATCCATCCCATCTGCACTGACGCTACACCCTCCCATGGGCTATCGTGTATCTGTATTATTATTACAATTGTTGGTTCATACTTCACGTTACATGTATGTAATTTATTTGTATACTATGCTAATTAAGTTTACATTCGTTTATCATTCGGATATTGTAGACAACATTTAAGAGAAAAACTTTGACATTTTTTTTGTAGGCAAATATGACTGGTTGCAAACAATATTTTTCCTAATGGTGTATGCGACGTTTATTCTTTATTATTATCTAAATTCAGTACTGTCCTGTCAACTTTCATGAATGTGTTTTTAGTTTTTACTTTGTTCATTAGTTTCTGTTTTTATCCAGAAAAAGAGTGATAATATGTAACCAATATAATGTGTAATTGTTTTATCATCACTTGTTCCCCATTTTTCATTTTCTTAAAATAAAAAGTGATTGTACTCTCTATTTACATAACAATCAGCTTGTCAATGTTTATTGTTTCCTAACATTTACCACCACCCCCCAAAAACATAAGAGGAGTCAGCAGATCGCAAGTCTCTCTGGCCAACAGCTTGTTCATTTGGAAGTCACTTCAGTTCGATAACAGCAAAATCCCATTGTATCACATCATTACAGTGAGGGAAAAGGTATTTGATCCCCTGCTGATTTTGTACGTTTGCCCACTGGCAAAGAAATGATCAGTCTATAATTTTAATGGTAGGTTAATTTGAACAGTGAGAGACAGAATAACAACAAAAAAATCCAGAAAAACGCATGTCAAAAATATTATAAATTGATTTGCATTTTAATGAGGGAAATAAATAGTTGACCCCCCCCTCAATCAGAAAGATTTCTGGCTCCCAGGTGTCTTATATGGAGGTAACGAGCTGAGACTAGGAGCACACTCTTAAAGGGAGTGCTCCAAATCTCAGCTTGTTACCTGTATAAAAGACACCTGTCCACAGAAGCAATCCATCAGATTCCAAACTCTCCAACATGGCCAAGACCAAAGAGCTGTCCAAGGATGTCAGAGACAAGATTGTAGACCTACACAAGGCTGGAATGGGCTACAAGACCATTGCCAAGCAGCTTGGTGAGAAGGTGACAACAGTTGGTGCGATTATTCTTAAATGGAAGAAACACAAAAGAACTGTCAATCTCCCTCGGCCTGGGGCTCCATGCAAGATCTCACCTCGTGGAGTTGCAATGATCATGAGAACGGTGAGGAATCAGCCCAGAACTACACACAGGAGGATCTCTTCAATGATCTCAAGGCAGCTGGGACCATAGTCACCAAGAAAACAATTGGAAACACACTACGCTGTGAAGAACTGAAATCCTGCAGCGCCCGCAAGGTCCCCCTGCTCAAGAAAGCACATATACATGCCCGTCTGAAGTTTGCCAATGAACATCTGAATGATTCAGAGGACAACTGGGTGAAAGTGTTGTGGTCAGATGAGACCAAAATGGAGCTCTTTGGCATCAACTCAACTCGCCGTGTTTGGAGGAGGAGGAATGCTGCCTATGACCCCAAGAACACCATCCCCACCGTCAAACATGGAGGTGGAAACATTATGCTTTGGGGGTGTTTTTCTGCTAAGGGGACAGGACAACTTCACCGCATCAAAGGGACGATGGACGGGGCCATGTACCGTCAAATCTTGGGTGAGAACCTCCTTCCCTCAGCCAGGGCATTGAAAATGGGTCGTGGATGGGTATTCCAGCATGACAATGACCCAAAACACACATCCAAGGCAACAAAAGAGTGGTTCAAGAAGAAGCACATTAAGGTCCTGGAGTGGCCTAGCCAGTCTCCAGACCTTAATCCCATAGAAAATCTGTGGAGGGAGCTGAAGGTTCGAGTTGCCAAACGTCAGCCTCGAAACCTTAATGACTTGGAGAAGATCTGCAAAGAGGAGTGGGACAAAATCCCACCTGAGATGTGTGCAAACCTGGTGGCCAACTACAAGAAACGTCTGACCTCTGTGATTGCCAACAAGGATTTTGCAACCAAGTACTAAGTCATATTTTGCAGAGGGGTCAAATACTTATTTCCCTCATTAAAATGCAAATCAATTCATGACATTTTTGACATACGTTTTTCTGGATTTTGTTGTTGTTATTCTGTCTCTCACTGTTCAAATAAACCTACCATTAAAATTATAGACTGATAATTTCTTTGTCAGTGGGCAAACGTACAAAATCAGCAGAGGATCAAATACTTTTTTCCCTCACTGTATAAGGTGCTACCGTATTACTATGGGGCTTGATTACAGAATTTCAGGAACGATATGAACATCCTTCCATATGTTTTACTCAATATTATCATTCAAACCTTATGTATGGCCTTTATATATGTATTTATATTCCCCATAAATAGTGCAGATAAATCAAATGTACTTTTCATGTTTTCATCAAAACATTTTCAAAACGGAATTAATTTGTTTTAATTTTCTTTCTGAATATGTATCTTTCATACAGATGTTTTTAATTAAATTGTCTCTCTTGTGGCAAATGTATTTTGATTACCATATCGAGTTTTCACTTCTTTGCAAAGTATAACACTTGCATGTCTGTGTACAATTGTGATTTAGTTGGCTATAATAACAAAATTAAATATTGTAAATATTTGGCCGAATACGACATATGTGCTTGCATTTGTGTAAATTCAGTACACTGCATACATCTGTTAAACGTAAAAGTTTCTCTTTTTTAATGCAAAAATCAGTTGCTTGTATTTGATTATACGCATTTTTGTGGTCAATCGCTGGTTGCATCAAAGGCACCAATCTGCTCACTTGCACGAAGAAGGAATTCTGTTTCTCATCGTTCTGCCCATGGTGGCGAAATGTTAACTACCTCGCCAGGTATACAGGAGGTCGTGGATTCGATCCCGACCCTGACGCCTGTATATTTGGAGGTTGCACGTTCTCCCCGTGCTCACGTGGATTTTCCTCCGAGTCCTCCGGTTTTTCCTTCGATGTTTAGAAACGTGCGATTTGGAGTAATTCACTGCTATAAATTCCCACGTGAGAAGCCACTTCGTTGAGCTTTCCTTTGTGGCCAGGACGCTTCTGAAAAAGAGCTACATAGCTCAGTGGGCCTTTCCTGGTAAAATGAAAATATGTTTTAGTTTAATTTACACCACACTGCCCAACTTGAGCCCCAGTAGCCATGAGCAGCTGTGCTGTGCAGTTCACGCCAATGCTGCCAAACTGTCATTAGCCAAGGCCACAATAATTACCCCATGAAGCCTGAGATTAGTTTCCAGGGGCACTGGACCTCATGGATGAAAAAATAACATTGCCATCAGCATAAATTCATCTGAAAGTTATATGCCAAAATTGACATATTTTCAAACCTTGAATGGGCACAATGTCAAATATATTGAATGGGATACAGCATGTTTCAAATATACCTTGCCAAGGGATATTTGTGAATGGTTAAACCTAATACTAATGATGATGGTTGTTAAAATATGATGTCATACGTTATTAAAGCTTAGTCATGTATATATGTGTGTATGTTCTTTTAATGGATATGTACAACTTTTGCCTGGAGCCACAGGACTGTTTCAATTGTTCTGCAGTGTTCGTACACAAAACAAATGAAACATTAATAAGTCATGTGCCTATTAAGAACCTTGTAATTTACAATAATGCAATACATCTGCATCCACGTCTGTACGTACACAAAACCCTTGTCATTCAATTGCCTGATGGGGGCCTTCCCATGCCCGTGCGGGACATCGTGGTTGTTTGACCATACTTCACCACGGCGGTCAGAGCGAGTTGGTGAAACCAGGGAGTGTGAACTTGAAACCATATTAACGCAACGGCTGTTGCTAAACTTGTGTCCAACGCTCACCGCGTAGGCCCCTCTCAGCCCCATAACAACCTGCTGGCACGCTGGCGGTCACTCGCACTTACGTGGTGCCACCACAGCGAAGCCACCCTGTGGGAGCCGTACCTGCGGCAGGGGGGCTGCAGCAACGAAGCCACCGGCTTCCGTCACAGCGCTTCCCCCACCACCCCCCACGTGAACACACACACCCACATAGAGCCCCCAGGGGAGGTCACCTGGCCGGCAGGTTTTCACCCAGAAGCCCCCCTTATGGGACGAAGCTTCACGGTTTCCTGCGACCAGGGAATTGAGCGACCTTCCCCGAGGCTGGCGTGCACCGCGGCGCCGTGACCTGAGTGGTAATTGCATGGTCACCACGGGGGCTGCTGAAGCCACCGCAGGTAGAAAGCATCCACACTCGACACGGGTCAGCAGGTGGGTAGGGGGGGGACAAAGTAGCGAGCAACAGGAAGACAGGCGGGGGGGGGGCCTCGTCTCCGCACAACGTGTGCAGGGACCTCGCCCACGTGGTGCCAGGGCGGTACAGGAGGACAAGGACCTCTCGGCCGTGCACTTGGGTAAACAATGGGGGGCGGGCATCGGGGAGGGGGGCTAATCCGATTGGCCAAGAGCAGGAAATCCGAGGCTCCGGATTGGACGAGGGGCCAGCGGGTTCGCGGCGCGTTAGCTTTGAAGTAGGGGGATAAAAAGGGACGTAAATCATGGAGCAAGCTCTCTTTGTGTTCGGGGTCTTCTGGAGTGAGGGACCGAGAAGTGATCGTCCCCTGCTACTCGAACGTCCGTGAGACGGGTCGCAGAGCAGCCAGGTCCAGTTCCCAGCCAAAGCCACGCACAGCCTCGCCTCTCCGCGACTACCTACACCTCGAGAGCGGATCGTAAGTACGGAGGAGAGAGGTAAGGCCAAGGGGCAATATCCGTTAAGGAGAGTGATTAGGGAGAGACAAGGCCAATTGGGTCCTAGACCGCTGGGAGATGGGTTAGACCTGCCCTGCTTACCCACACTGACACGGGTAGATTAACTTCATTAAGCGGAGAATAAATCGCCAGTAGACATTAAACCTTGTCGTGTTGTCTCTGTGAGTACGGAGGGGGGTGCCTGGTGTTGTGAGCCTGTTTGTTGTGGTGTCCTGTGTTTTCGCACGAGCGTGTATTTTGCCCGCGCGTGCACGCTCGCCGCGCTCGTTAACTTGTGAGCCCGCGCGTTGTGGTGTCCTGTGTATTCTGCCCACGTGGGTACTCTCGCCACTGCGTAGCTCGTGGTTAGCGTATACGAGAGGGGCACAGTGGCGCATTCGCGAGGTGGTTAGCACAGCCATTTAAATCGTGCCACGAGGGGCAGCAGCGAGGGGGGGAGAGTCGGAGAGCGGTGGGTCGCAGATGAACGGGGAGACGGGGGGCAGCAGCCCCGACACTTAACCTGGCCCAACGCGCCTCCCTTACCTTCTGAGAGATCAGACGAGACTCGGCGCATTCCGAGTGGTTTAGTCATAGGAGTGTGTCTATATCACACGGGAGATTCACGACAATAAACAACAGCAGCAGCAGCCTGCACTTCCAAATGAAGTGATGGTGATACCACCATAGCGCTTGTGCCAGGCTAGGTACACTTTGAAGCTCCACGAGGTGGGATAAATCATCACTGGTAGGAGGTCACGGGACATTTCGAGATGCCATGGGTTAACTGACCGAGTTGACTTGCAGATGCAAATTTGTAGTATTTTGACGAAAGGTTGTTAAAGTATTTTTATTATTATTATTATCGATCTGCATTACCGGTAATTATCACCTGAAAAACATTGGGAAAACCCGGAA